AAAATAAATATCCTGAATTACAACTCCCATCCTGGCTTTCCTTTATAGAATCTTGGGTCTGACAGACAAACACATATCTCATAAGCTGACAAACATCCTAAGAAGGCTTTCTTTCTAGCTCTTTCTGGTGGTCATTTTAACTTTGTGCCACCCTAAGAGGTACGATGAGCACCTCCGCCCTTTTACAATCTGAGTACTTCCTTCCGCCCTTGGTACAGCGATATTGCACGGTGAATTTCTGCATGCACTTGAAATTAACATTGTCTAAAGTCAAACAGTATAGATATAAAAGTCAAGGGGTCATCTATCTCTATATCTATCTCTGCCAACTAACTATTTGTCGTAGAGTGATTTTCCTCAGACCATGAAACAGTTTCTAGTAGTCAGTGTATGATATCTAGTCAAATAGACACAAAAGAAAACAATGAAAATAACATCTAGTGACCTAAGCCTTTTCAAGAGCTGTCTGCTGAGTGATCTTGTCACTGGTCAGATCCAACAAAACTCATTAACTACACTATATATAACTGATACTGAGTGCTAGCTTTGTTCAGAAGGTGTGCAACCAAGTTACCGACACTGAATAACTTATTCTGTACCATATGAAAATAAAACTTTTACCAGTGATATCTAACACGACTAAAATTTCTTATTCTGTTCAAGACTTACGCAATCTAATATCTGAATTAGGAAACGTGAGTTACTCAACGCGCCCATTATTTTCGTGCGTATTACTGCCTTTTAGTACGTCACGACCGGCTGTGTGTGCAGGGGACAATCCTGGGCAGTATAGCCTACGTGCACGAAAAGTCACAGGATGAACCAGAACCGTGTAGAGTCATGGTGAAGCAATTAAGGTAGAAATGACAATCATTTGATTCAATTGAGGCAAAGTTGACAAATATATATTGGCAAAAACAATTTTTGACACTATTTGATAAACTTATATTTGAAGAAACGCTATTTCTCAATGATCAGGTAAATTTTGAGGCTTTATTTCACGTTTCAATGATTTTATTGAAATTTTTGAAGAATCCCCATACATTTCCTTATAACTGGACACCACAGAAAGCAAGCTTGGGCTACCTGTGGTTGTCCTAATGATTTGGTGTGATACCAGATACAGATTTCAGTCTTCACAACTCGACTACCTTCCCCTTCTGATCCCCCCGCACTGGCACGTGACATGTCATCAGTGAAATCCAATATGACCAGTCTTTGTATACCGTCACCAAGGTCAATGAATCCTTCCGGTGACTCAAGACTGGTGAAGATATACTTCACTCATAAATTATATGCATGATCTTGTTCATATCTATATTAGCAAGATCGATACAGTGACTTTTATATAGATATGTCGTGTATGTCGGAACGTGGAAAGAGATTACAAAACTTCAACACTATACTTTCCGATGCTTGGTTAAAAATACTCCAGGATGGTTTTCACAAGTTTAAGAACCCAACGGTACGTACGAATCAAATGTCTTGACTTTCTATTATATATGACATGTATATGCTATCATAACAGACTTATTGAAAGTACTTGATCAATATTTATTTATATTGAACTTGATTTTTATGACCTTTAAAAAAAAGTACTGAAGGGAAAACAAAACTCATCAGTAGTTTTGATTAATGTTATTAAAGGTTTTAAGTTTTCTGTGTGGGGATTTGTTCATATGAAGGCAAGTCAGTAAGGCAGGTCGAAGTTGATTCAAGAACTTGTAATAATGTAAAGTAAGAGAGTCCAACCGGCTTCGATCATGATTATAATCTTTGAAGCCCGACAGTCTGACAGAGCGCATTTCAATCTCGTACCCAGAGTCTTTACTACTAGTATTTCTTACTGCGCATGCTTTGTCTCTGGGGTACGAGATTGAGCGCATTTCCGGCCGGTATTGGTTTTGTGCGCAAGCGTGGGCCTTCTTTTTCCTTGTACCACAGGCTACCCGCCTTAGGTAAGTGCAATGTCAGTGGAGTGATTGTGGAGTTATTCGCTTTCTATAACCCCTCCCCCCCCACCCC